TACCAGCAGTAGCCTGTTTTTACTCTCCTCTGAAGGGAGTAGTCAGGTCACTTCGCCTGCTGACGGCTAATCCTCGTTTGTTTGTTTCTCCAGGAATACATGGACCCAATGAACGAGCACAACGCCCTGAACGAGGCCAAGCAGATGATCGCCGTGGCGGATGAGAACCAGAACCGCCACCTGGAGCTGGAAGAAATCCTCAGGTACAGCGAATACTTCACCGGCAGCAAGCTCATGGATTACGCCAGAAACGTGCACGAAGAATTCTGAACACTGAAAAGACTTCTCCACACGCGCCACCTCCGAGATCTGCTTCAGGGACGTGGTGACGTGACGTGGCGTTCTACTGTCTACTGTCCGGTTTCCTGTTAAGTCCATCAGCTCCCCCTCCCAACATGAAAGCTAACGCGGCCTACAAATTATTCACAAACAGAAGAGGATTTTTGGGTATTACTCTCCAGAGTTGTGAAATGTGTGTATATGATGAAGTTTAGCTCAGACGATCCGGTTTGTTTTGGCTGGTGCAGCCATTTAACCAGCCTGTCTGTATTCACTGTAAATATCTATATTTGTTCTATAGAAATACAGCGGTGCTGGGTATGCTTTAGATAGCCAGTCTCATTAATTAGTCATTCCTCAATCCAGCTTATCGTTTTCTAAAATAAATTTGATTGCAGCAATATTCAGATTGATTTGAAATGTTAATATTCCTAGAAGCTGTGTGATGTTCATTACATAGATCCTCATTCAAAGCTCATTGGCTTGGACTAGTTATTTGCACAAAGAAATTAATATATGAGTGGTTCGATGAACATAAAGTAACGGGTTTCACTGATGACCGAACCGCACCTGAATGCAACACGGCTGTTCCCTTTGGACAGCAAGCAGCTCGTCGTCTGTGTTTTTATTCATGTGGATGAAGATGGATTTTATTTATTGACCTGTTTCAACTTTGAATGTTTAAATGCCTTGCACATATCTACTGCAGGTGTCCTTGTGTTGGTTTCTAATAATTATTTCGGTTCGTGTGGATTTTATTTGGTAGTTCTGTTTCTTGTTTTTACATGCATGGAGAAAAGAAAAATCAAAGGTATTTGTGGAACATCTGGGATCCGGCTGCTTTCTTTGCTTTCCTCGGTCTGATTGTAAAATAAGATTTCTAAAACAGAATGTGACGGCTTTATAAAATGTTCTACAGGTAAACAGGAGAACAATAAATGTTTCTTAACAACAAGAATGTGGATGGCTTTATACGTTGATTTGTTTTGTAAAAGAAATACTTTTAAATGGTCTGAAATAAGTTTGTTTTTCAGGAAGAACTTGTGTTCTTATGTTCTTTAATCCAGGGCTTTTAATTTGTTTAAAAAATCTTAAATCTATTAAATATTGCTTGAAACTGAACTTTCAAGATTTATTTATATACACTGGTACCTAAGACACACAAAATCATTTATCCAAGGCATTAATTTACAGTTAATTAGCGTTGATGTTTAATGTTAGGATTTTCTACCCTCCTTTGTTTTTTCTCCAGGATAATTTAAGCTAACTTGGTTACGATGATGATCTATCTGGTTTTGCCTCTTTATTTTTATATGAATCTATAGATCATAATCAAGGAGTAGTTTTTACTCTAGGTATGATTTTATTTAACTCTTAGAGCCTTAAATGTGTTTTTTGTTCTTATACATCAATGTGTTGCATATATTCTGACTTTTCCGCCTAATTTGATCTTAATCCTACAGAATCAAAATCCTTGGATTAGTAAGAAGTCTCACTTTTGTCAAATTATGTCAAGCCATAATTCTGAGACTAAAGTCAGCATTCTGACATTTTCCCCACAGAATTATCTGATTAAAAATAATTTTTTTCTGATTAAAGCTAAAAGTTCAGGGGCTTGGTGCCGGGGATTAGCGCGTTACCCATGTAGAGAGGCTTTAGCCAACGCGGTTGTAGCAGGTTGGAGTCGCTGCATGTCTTCCCCCTTCCCTCCATTCCTGTTTCATATCTGCCTAATTTCCTGAGGCCACTAATGCCTGAAAATGTTTTATTTATTTTTTTCACCTTTCATTTTCATTCACCTTTTTGCCATCCAGAATCCTGTAAAGTGAGAATTCTGATTATTTTTTTTCTGACTTCTAAGATTAAAAGCGTGATTTTAAATAACAATTTTGGACATCGGTCAGAATTCTGAGAGTAAATTTGGAATTCTGTATTTTTTTTCTCGATCCTATAATTGGTTAATCTGACTCCGACGGAAACCTTCCGTTGAAGTAATTTTGGGAAGGGGCGAAAATACTAGTTAGCTGATTGGCCTATGTTGGTGATAGACGGGCCAAATAAACCAATCAGATCAACGAAGCGTATGACGTACTAACAGAGCGACGACGAAGAGGAGCCAATT